ATAGTCTAGACACTATAAACAACTATGAAAAGTTCGCAACTTGTTTTTAAAAACCTGTACGTACTATAGTAGAGTACTAGAAATTCTTCCTTCATTGTTAAAGAACCTGGCCTTCTTTCCCATTTATATTAATTTGAAACTCAGTTTCTGCATTTTCTGACACGTTTACTTGCAATTTTACTGTTTCATTCTGTGAAAAAGATGACAGGACAGAAGGTCTGAAGAGTTTTGTCACTGCTGTCAGCACGTTTGAAATGCTTCTATTGAACACAAACCCTCCTGCTGTCATCCAGACCCCATTCCCTTTGTAAGCCAATACCAGGCTGCTGCACGACTACACGACAGTGATCAGAATCGTTTTTGTATAGTCAGCTTGTTAGGACTGAGAAATAGTAGCAGCCAAGTGCTGTGAAACTGCAGCGTGGTGCCTTGTACCATATCTGCATTGTAACAAACAATACCATGAGAAATCTGCCTAGCCTGATAAAACACCATCTTACCCTTTTCACTGGACTGTTTCAAAAAACCTACTGAAAGTGACAAAATAGGATGTAAAAAGTATGTATTACATGAACAAACTGACATTTTCATGGTACCTTTAAACTACCATACATCTGAAACATCAATCTCAACTGTACCCACCACAGCCACATGGTGAATTAAAAAAACTTAAAAAAAAAAAAAAAAGGTATCATTACTAAAAGGCCCTGAAATTGCACCCAGAGCAATTTCTTAGCAGTCACTAGGCAGACTGATTCTAGCCTGGCTGATTTCCCTTGCCTGCTGTTGTCTTTATCAGCTTGTGTTCCTCATTAAAAATAAAATAGGGGAGATATGAACACAGAAATGCTGTATTTATTAAAGTAGTCTAAAATGGAATTGTTGTGCTCTTCAGTAACTTAGATTCCTACAGTTTAGACAACGCTTAGCTTTTTCTTTCCACAGAAATAAAACTGGCTACTTCCAGAATTTTCATCTGGATTTATTCTATATAATTCTACTAATATTTTTAAAAGTTGTCTTATGATCAAGCCTTCGGGTGTATCTATAAAACATCAATAAAAATTATAGCAAGCTGGCAGAAAGCAATAAAGCAAATAAATCAAGAAACCCCAAATTTAGCTTCTGTCATTTAATGCAGAACAGAGAAACTGAAATGCTCTCCTCAAACTCTTTTAGCAAAAAAGCTAATGAAAGGGAGGGAATGTCATTCTTTGGAATTTCAGTACAAGTTAAAAAATGCTTTCACTTTAAAACCTCTCTTTTTAAATTTCTTTTCTATGCCTCCGTCTGTACTAGCTGCATTGGGAAAATGCCACCACCTGAAGAGAAGACATGTTTGTATAAAGATGTGCTTACAAAAAAGAAAATACACTGAAAATACTCTATAGCTGATTGTAGCCTATTTCTGTGCCATAAGTATGGCAATACCAATAAACCATGATGGTGTTAATTGTTATTTGTTAAACTCTAAATTTGTGAGGAGGGACTTGCTGGAACTGTAAAAGGTCACTCAAATTAAAGTTTCCAAACATGAGATGAGCCAGAGGGAGTGAATTGTGAAAACCGTGAAACTGGCATGATCTTATGTTCTCCTCTCCCTTCACTGCAAATTAATTAAAAGCCACCCTCAAAAACTCTGTCTCGTTGTCCTGTGGTATTTCTAAGCATCAGATTGCCACATGATAAATCACACGTTCATATTCCACAAAAATCTCAAAGCCTCTGTACAACAACTACCCTGCAATCCTGAAAATGCATGGAGATGACATCACTAAGTTGCCAAAACACATGGTTTTCTTCTGAATGAGAAAAGCAGGTGTAGAAAGCCTACTCAGTATTTTGCCAAACAAATATTTGTTTACTTGACCGCCTAAGCTGGGGAAGCACACATGACATTGTAGCATCATGTGTTTGCATTTAAAGACTCCGATTTAACAAGCCTCATGAACTCCAGTTGTGACCTGGACAGCTCAGCCAGCAATGACTGTTTATTTAGATGTATAACAACAAAACATGGACAGACAACTGTCAAGGACACTAAGTAACACACCCAACAAACAACCATGAAGAAAAATACAGCAGGAAATTCTGCAATTTTATATACACACATGCATACATATATATGTATGTCCAATATATATTTGGACAAAATGGAAAATATGCATATATATGGATATGTATATTGGGCTTATATATGCATGCATGTATATAAAGTTACAGAATTTCCTGCTGTAATTTTATTCAATACATATATTGGACATACATGTGTGTGTATATATATATCTGCATGTGTGTATGTAACTATGTAAACACATATACAGAACATGGAGCTAAACGTTGTAATTAATTAAGAAAAAGCAATCTAGCCTACTCAGCTTTTCTCCTTCAAAAATCCACATCTGTTGAAGTGCTCTTGTAGAGAACCTTGCTTTGCAATATGCCTTGAATATTCATAAAATGGAAATAGCTAGTTATAGAGCAGGATGTGAGTCCATATGAAAAATGGTTATGTCCTTAGTTTCTGATAAACCAAGAATCATTCAGGGAACAACCAGAACTTAATCACTAAGTACCATACTACCTGGAAGCTTTCCATCTCACCCCCCTACCATTCATAATGCTTCTGTTATTTTGGGGCAAATATGCCTGAACTCAAACCGACTTGAGGACATTCGACTTATACTTCAGAAAATTACTAGATTACAATTATTGAAAGCTCCTCTGAAATTTCACTTCCATTTTACAAGTGGAGAAAGCAGATCTAACGGTACAAGTTTTCTCTCCTCCCTTTCACACACTAAGCTTTGCATGTGTTCTCTGGGGCAAAGATTTGCTAAGAAATGCTGCCTCTTGGCAATTTCTTCAGCAATTGGACGGGCCCATAACGGTATAGTGGTTTAGGATGAATAGACAAGCTTGACAGAAAGATCTATCAGCTGTTCAGCCCACATTGCTGTACAAATGAGGAAATGACTGGAATATTAATTGCCTTTAAACAGAAGTAATTACTCACTTTTGTAAGACTAATAGCAGGCAGAAATAGATAACAAGACTAGAATATTATGAAAAATGTTTCATTTTTCTGGCTTTAACGGTGCATCTGAGGATTGGAAGGGCAAATCCATTCCTTATGTGTCTCTTTGCCCTTTCCCTGTTCTGACATTCAGCAGTATCTTACAGTTTTTATTTTGCATGAGAATGTGGAACAGTGAATGGATTTGATGCTTAACTACTGAAATCCAATTTCTAGTTTGCAGGTTTTGTCCTCTGTTTGGGATTTGTTAGGCTCTGCTGGTTTTGAAGCAAATGACATGTTGATTTTTTTTCCAGACAAAATATTTTTTGAAAGATTCATGCACATACCAATTCATGCACATCCTAAAAACTTCTAAGGCACTATCTCTTTGAATTCATCTGCCTGAGTGACAGTACATGGGTTTGAAGTTTCTTAGGCAATAAATTTAAATAAAGCTTAGCTGTATAATTGCATTGTGAAAAATCTCAATATTTTGATACTCAATAAATTTATTCACAAACCATACTCTAATATTTATAAGCATTCTAAAAGGAAGGCTTTGCAATATATTTTCCATTTGGTTGCTCACCTCAGACTTTCACTCTTTTAAATGGACACACAGCAGATTTACTCTGAATAAAAGTTAATGTATGCCATTCAACTAGGCTACAGCCTCTTTCAAAAGCAGAATCCAGTTCATGACTTGAAAAAATGTCTTTAGTTACTTGGAGTATCAGCCTTTTTCTATCATTTACCAAAAGGCTTTTTTTTTTTTTCACTGCACAGTATCAACAGAACTAGAGAGGAAAGCAAAGACATAGTGTAACAGAGTTGATTCCTTACAGTTACCCAGCTGTCATTTTAACCCCATTTCATGTCAGCTGAGTGGCTTCTTTCAGCAAAGAATCCATTTGGTGAAAAAGAGGAGATACTCTCAGCCTATCAATTCTTTGATATCATCGTTTCACAAGTGATACTAATTGGAAATCTGCCCTTACCCTATTTCTAAGAGGATTGCTCTCAAGAATAAAGTGTTTGTTGGCACAGCATCATTGTAACACATGTCTGTCTCATTCACTATGATTTATGATTTTTCCTATTGCTTTTAATTGCAGAAGTCTTGAACACTGCTCCCTCCCAAGATTCATTTTGAAAAGGTATGAGAAATCATCTGATACTACATTGTTCTTTGCAAGTGTAGTTCTATCCATCTATTTGGCTGCAGAATTAATCCACATGCTTGCTCTTATACTTCAACAGTTGCACCAAACAGAAAATAAGTGCACAGATTTATGGATATTCCCAAATTATGGGTATGTTAATATAGGTACAATTTTGCAGGTTTCTTAAGATTACACAATGACATCCTTTCTTAAGATGGAAGTTATATGAATATGTGTTGGATGTGTTATCTAGTCCAAGTGTGCCACCACTCTCAGAAAACTACTGCGTTGGCAGGAAAATCCCCGTAAGAAAAGTTTTTTTAGACTACCCAAACAAATAGGTCTGCTACAGGGAAGGACTGTAGTTCTAAAAAATCAGTAGTGAAACAACAAGAACAGATTGTGGAAGTCCCACCCTTTTGTTAGGCTAGAACATACCTGGCATGCTGATGGATGACTGTGATTGAGGTCCCACTGGGAAGATACTATGTCAACAGACTTTTCAGCCATATTAAGCAAATTCATCCAGCCTTGGAAAAGAGACAAATGGGATGGTGCACTGTCTGAATAGTTGATCCCTTCAGGAATATTTTCCACAAGAGCAACCCTGAGAATAGATAAGGAAAAAATAACCACTTAACAAAAGCACTTTCCTTTATTAAAAAGTTCCAAACTGTAAAGAATGTCAGGTTTTGGGCCTGTGGTTCAACATCTGCTCCCAGAGGCTCTCAGCAGTGTGCCACTTCACAATTCACTCTGAAGTTGCTGACTGTCATGCTCCACACTTCCCAAAATAATAAAATGCAGAAATGACCTCCTGTTAATGCAGCAAAGCCAATCAAGCTCGTGAAGCTCTGAAAAATTAGCTTAAACATGGAAAAGCTTACTTCTTGTAACACAGTAAGTGGGAATCAGTCCTTAAGGTGAGGATGGGAAGAATGAAACAATCTCTTTTTACTTTGCCACTCTCATCTTTGCATTTAATTTCTTCTCTCTAAGCAATGTGGCAAGACGTATACTCCCTGGCATTCTCCTAGGTCCACTTTTACAGCTGACATTTTATTACACTGCAGTCTCTATACATGAATTTTCCCTTTCCAACTGCTCTAAGCTACCTAATTTTTCTGCTTTTGTTTACCCACTTAAGGTTCCACCCGGGAGATCCAGTGGTTAAGAAAAGAATTATACCCTTTTAGTTTCCTGGTCTTTTTGGAAGGCTTCTTGATCTTATTGCCTATATTATTCAAAACGCTTACAAATTAATTACATACATTCATGGGGATCCAAGAAGCTAAACAAACATTGTGGTAAACTGACAGTTCAAAAAATGCTCCTCTGCTTTGGGGAAATGAGGTGTTTCATTCAATATACTGCCTCATTGCTAGATTTCCTTAAATTGCAGCAGGTAAAGCTCCTCTATACACTCAATAACAGAATCTTAAAAATAAATGAAAGTTAAACAAGTTTCCCAGTTCTGTCTTTGGGTAAATAGACGAAATTCTCAACTTAGATAAGTGGCACTTCTGTAAGTGCCCCCAACATCTGCCACTTTTACTGTGAATCATAGAAACCAGATTTAGGAAAGCTGTGGTGGGGAGATGGAGAATACTCCTTTTCATTGTATCCAAATACATCAAGTATTTCCAGACTGTTTCTGTACTTATTAATAGCATCAATTATCAACTCCAGCAACATGAATATAATTTGTAAACTTTTTTTAAGTGGACCATTAATACAAACCTCTAGTGTAAACAAGAATTGTACTCTTTTTGATTGCTAGAAAAACAGATTAGTTCAGCTTCTTCTATTAATTCAGTTCATCCTACAGGGTCACATGGAAACTTTTAGAGATATTTCAGAATATTAAGCATGTTTGTGAAATTAACCCATTCAAAGACTGAAGACTAGCACTCTCAAACAGTGTAAAGAAAACCCAGCAAGAATGGTGATAAAATGAACCTGTGGTAATTATAAAATTCTTACTCTCTTGGCCTGGCAAAAATCCCCTCCCCCCGCCCCGAACCAGAACAGGCCCAGCTCCTCCTTTCATTAAATATTCAAGTATGCTCTCTTATCCCCTAAAATCTGTCAAACAACATACATATCACTAAGCTACAATTACTGGTGACATTCTCCACAACATACTTTGAATACACTATTATATTGATTGGCATTAAACTTAACTGTGTTACAGCAATAGAGTTGTAACACCAAGAAATTGACTGTAAAAGGTTAAAAACACAACTTGATTTTTTGATGTCTTCAAAGTATACTTTATTCTAAAACATTCTACCTACCTTGTTTGCAAACTTTTCAAAGTAACTAGTGCCGTAAAAATTCAGTGCCCTTATTACTCTATTAGCAATAAAACTTCTGTTAGATCCAGTCTATCTTTTTCAGTAGTTAACACTACTAATCATATTGGGGCTCTTAGCAATTTCCATGTTCCCAGAGCTGTTTTATAGAGCTGTAGCATGGCCACCTTCAAAGAGCAAGAAGTTGAAGCATAGAAGATAAAGAGATAAAGTGATCTCTACCAGGACATAAACACGTGCCCCCCCCACCTCAAAAATCCAGTGACAAAGATGAGAAATAAATCCATGTGTTTCTGGTCTGTTCCATCATCTACCCAATTACATGTGGATACGGGAGACAATTATTTTGAATATTCTCCAAAGACATTCTTCATATTGAATTTTTATTCAAAAACTAATCTATCAAATGTGGTTCTGATTTAGCTAGAATTTAAAGGTGTGTATCAGTCCTTTAACACAAGATGCGACCAAAATTTCTCAACATTAGAATATTGCCTAACATACACAGTGTTTTCTGGATGAACCTATGTAAATGAATATACAGGAGCCCACAAAATAACTGTTAGGATTTAATCTGTCACAGTTAGTTCCAGTGGCTTGCAGTGGTGTTTCCCATGGACTGTACTGGTTTCAGTACTGTGACAGGTTTCAGGTAGCTCCAACATCCCCAAGTCCAAGAAGCTTAGCATGTTATGTTTGAGATGAGGGCCCTGATCCAGCCAAACACATACATGCTTATTTATGATGCATTGACTTCACCTTATTTAGGTCCAAAGTACGGGAAATTGCTATGTCTATGTGTTATAAACTCGGATTTCAGAAGTCACTGGAAGCTATACCTTAGAGTGTAATGCAGGAAGAACTGCGGATGTGGGTTATTGCTCTATAGATACATTTGGGTACAGATACCATAAAGACATGCAAAATTTGGGGTCCTCCTCCTGTTCCACAGTTAAACCCATTTACTTATTCAAATAAAGTAGCAAGGCAAATTTGCTGGGCAAAATGAAATACACCTCCCTCTTAAAAGGGCCCTTGTCAGGGACAAAGTGCCTCTTGGTAAGGGAACGTCCTGACTGTTGGGCTGAACTTGCTCTTCACTAGGAGGATCAGTGCCCAACTTTACAATCTGCATGCCATTCAGCAGGCTAGAAGCACTAGCACTAAATAAGGGATGTGACTGCACAGCTCCTGACATTTTATAATTTGGGTTTGATTATGTAATAGAAGCCAAATGCATTCCAGTTAGCGAAACTGTTATTCAGAATAGATATTATCTGTTAATATATTTCCTAGTCTTTTGTTTAACCTAATAGTAAGTACTTTGTGTTCTTTAGCAAAGACATTTCATCTAGCTACGGCGCTACTTAAAATGTGGTTTTCAGAGTTGAGACTTCCCTTTAATAATGAACTGATTCTGCTATCCCCCCCAGTTATTCCCCTACCCACTGAAAAACTCAACACCAAGCTCAGAAGTTAAAAAAAGGTCAACGACCAAGTTTCTAAATTAAGTGATTTTTGCCTTCATAACCTTCCCTTTTCATTTGGCACAACAACAAATTTCCAGTGCTTAGTCAAGAAGGGTTTTGTTAAACTTTCTATGTAGAGGTTTGAATTTGCAAGCCCCAATTCCATCAATAAAAGCTAAATTTAGCTCTCATTTTTGTTCCAATATGACCCACAGAGAGGTTTTAAAATATGGTATAACAAAAACTTCCAGGAGAGAAAGTCATGCACAGACCTAGAGTAACATCAGACATGATGACATAACTAATTCTGCATAAATGGCATATTAACAAATTAAAACAGAACAAACATAACAGTGATTAAAACAGACTTTTCCTCTGTTCAAAATCATTAGCAAATAACCTTACACTTGTTGGATGAGATGTCCTTCCCTTCTCTGATTTTCTGGTCATCCAAGTATTTAATCTGATTAATGCCAACATAGGCTAGCCTCTTGAGTTATACAGCTGAATATTCTCAAACCTACCTCACACAGAATGAAAAACCTGAAAGTAATGTTACATGATTTCTATGAAGTTACAGAGAGAGAGACAAGGGTCAGAGCTGAGATTCAAGCTCCTCTAAGCTAACAGAAATGTGGTAAGCAGTGTAATGGTATTTAATGCCTACCAAGAAAAAGACCTTGACCTCAATAATAAGACTCTTCTGAACCTAGCTACATGACTTGCATTTAGTAATTTCAAGTAAATTCTGTCCCAGGCTAAGGATTCTTCTTCATCTTTGGTCAGAAAGCTAGGTTTGTTTCTGCTCTCTCACCAATTTTTTTTCTCTGAAGGAAACAGATCTACTCTTAATTTAGCATCTCCGTTAATTAGAGTAGAAAAAGGGCTAGGACAGTGAAAATAGGCAGAGTCTGTATGTCTGTCCCTTGAATAAATTTGGGGCAAAAATTTATAGCTCTGTTGAAAAGTTTAGCTGTAAGGATTACACAAGTATAAAAGGAAAGTTCTTTTGATAGTTCAAATTCCACACCATATTAAAGTGATAAGCTGTAGAATGTTATTTACTCCAGTTTGTCTCAATCCAGAGTCATACACTAAAGAAAATCCAGGTCACATGCACTTGAGTGTCTTTACAACATTGGAATTTACTCACTATCAAAGGGAAGAAACGTGATAGGAAAACACTGCAATGATTTGTATGAGACAATAAAGAAATCAAAGATGAGCAAAGGCTTTGTCATAAGGCTGCTATATTTCAGATGGGGGGGAGAAGGAATGGGAAGGGAGGGAAGTGTGTGTGGGACTGGGAAAGGTGCAGGAGTCCTGCACCTATACCAGGGTCCTAGTTAAAGACACTGTTTTGTGATGACTCTCTTTTTCTTAATCCAGAAGCCCCGGAACCACCAACCCCTGCCCTGAAGAACCACAGCTCCTCAGAGTTCCAGCTCCTCCTTTGTTACAAATCCAGAGTCTTAACATCCGTTCAAAATCTACCATCTTTGTCAGACCAGTTCTTTCAATTGAGGCTTTCACCATATCACCTTTAAGACCCCCACCTTCTTCTGCATCGTATCAGTCCTACCACTCTTCTCCCTCAGATCTACTAATTAGCTGTCATGCTGGCCAAGACCATCTTCTCCTTAGCTCCTCAACAGAACCACAGCTCCAACTCTTGTTTCTGAAAGGGATTAAGAAATATCGTTCTAGACAGGGTATAATTACTGTTTCAAAAAACATGCAGAACAAACTCTCTTTTCTGGGTTCAGAGAAAAGTGTCCTATGAAAAGAAAAAGTATGGCACAACTTATTGATGTATTTGGATA